GTTGAAGTATGTCGTAGCCGAGCATAAACACCAGATGTGGTTTGACGTCTGGCCAGTTCGAGTTGTTCATCCCGAACAGAGGCATGCTCACATTCGGTGTGTGTGTGTGTGTGCGTGCGGTAGGCGCCATTTGATTTTGGCTCTCATGCAACACCTCTGTCTCTCTCCCTTTCCGATCCACATTAGCGTCATACACAGGTCGATCACGTGACACAAGTTTTCACAGTGAATGGATTTGAGAACACGTGTGTGCATGGGACCACGACCATTCTCTAGCTCTCAAAATACCCAACTCAGGAATCGCCTGATACTATTTTGCTCGCCAAAGTTGTTGGCAGTTTGCGGTCCACAATCAAAACGATCCTGATCGAAGCGTGGCCAATACTTTATGTTTCCTTCCGGAATTCAGGAATATCAATTCACGCTAAAGAACATTGTTCTCCCCTATGTGTTGCCGGGAAGTGCTGTTTGCAGGGCAGAATAAGGAGGAGTTAGTTGGTTGGAGCTCAGGGAGTGAGCGCAATGGAATTTTAACAAGCACAGAACGCTTATTGTGTCAGTTACCTCGTCCCGCGCGCTTTCGAATTGGTATAATCGCATTTCACAGTTAAAATAAATAAAAGCATGAGCTATAATTGAAGGGACACTCCAAATCTGAACAAAATGACCACACCCGAGGTAAATGTTGCCAATAATGAGGAGTCTGTGACCGAAGGGATGCTTGATTAAGGGAGGAAACTTTGTTCACATTTAACCGTGTCTCTGCTTGAATTAGTATTGTTTTTCAATTGAATTTTGAAAACGGTTTCATGAATTGATCAAAAGTCTCAGTCTGTTTTATCTGAACAAACGGAGGAACACTTCTAAATCACTATCGAATTTGGTCGTGACTCACACGCATCAAGCTGAGCGGTAGTTGAACACTGGGAATATTTTGTATTTGTATTTGTATAACTTGTGCAAGCATATATGCTTACATTTCAGTTAAAAATGTACACTGTTTGTCACTCAGAATGAAATAATAATAATAAAAACGAAAGATAAAGAATGTCGGTGATATTTGTTTCATGTGCAAAACTTTTGACGGGGTTCATTTCAGACCTGTTCCTTTTTGGTTAGTAGTCGGGCCAAATAGGGTACAGGGGAAGTTTATAAATGTTAATCCGAGAGGGTAGCTGTCTAAATGAGGATTGTGTGGACGGATGGGAACGACAAGACGATAGATCAGGGTGTAGTGGATGAATAGGATCATCTAGAATCTTTTGATCAAATTTAAAACAAGAGTTGATGTGACGATCAATGTGTTCCGTGATTAATAAATCGATTGGGATTAATGATGCACGACTGATTACCACCAAACCACGGCGAATTGTTTTGAAGTCGTGTTTTAAAAGACCGGGAAACACTACAGGGGAGCAATAAAGTAGAATGGATAAAACACATTGATGAACGAAATATGGCAGCACTAACTGTGGGGTTCGGAATTGCCTGAGTTTGCGTAACTGAAAAGATAAGCGTCTCAGTTTTCCCATTCAGTTGTGGATATGTGTAGACCAACGAAGGTTACTGTCGATGGTGACACCCAGGTACTTGACTGAGTATTGATCGTTTTCACGATTTAGATGGTGAATGTTTGCATTAGCCCATTTGGCTTTTCGCACAGGTACCAGGCACTGTTGGTGATGTTCGGTGTGGGTTTCACTCCTTGGTTTATATTTTTGACAGGGACACAAAACGTACGCACACTACTGACGGGTACCAAACAGGACGAAACAGCTGTCCAGTGCTCTTTGTGTCATTTATCACAAATATTTCCACCGCATTTAAACATTTTCACGATTGCTTGTTGAGTACAAGCGGATTTTTGCTACTTGTGTTTTTTGGCAGTTAATCGGCTGCGATCGATGGATGCGATTCCTCAGTCGTCCTGTTTGAATGATGATTCCGAGAGGTACAAATTATCGGTCAGCTGGTCTTGTTTACCAACTCGCACAACTAGGAGTGTGTGTGTGTGGCCACATGAGGAGGGCTCTGAGACAAGTGTTTTTTTTTGTTCAATATAAGAAATAAACATTCTGGACACTTGTCGACAATGTGAAACCAGGAAAATATATCGCTCTCGAGGAAATTTCAATGAACTGTTAGTTATACGGGCGCTTCATCGCCTCGACATACTACTATAGTCAGAACGCAATGTTCTTGCAAAGATGTGTCGATCCTTCGAATATGAATTGTGCAAAATTTGGGATCAAACGACATTATGTGTATATCAGAACATTATTTTAATAATTTAAAATTTTCTTATTGAGTTTCCCATTTCAACCTCGATGGATTTTTAGCCATTTTTTCTGAGACCTTGAGACATATTTCAAGGTCATTTGTGGACGTGAGGGTCCATCAGAAGAATCTAAAAATCGCAACTGATGTACCGGTTTGAGATAAAAAAATATAACTGATCCATGAACCGGTCTTCCTTCAGTGTTCAGATTGACAACCGTTTACGAACGGATTGACGCCAAACGTTTTAGACTGTGTGCGTGTTTTAGACTGTTATGACGTATTACCGAAACTCGTTCGCTGCATTTCAACAGATGATTACTGACGAAAAACGGTTGTAAACCTCTTGATAAGGTGAAGGTCTGGAGCTTGTATCCGGGAGTGAGCCCGTGTAACATCAGGGACTTTCTTTTGACACTGGTTAGCTAAATTTCCCCAAAGCTCTCTCTTCTGCAACCAGTTCTCACATTAAATGAACATCATACCAAAATATGTTTGTGTAGCCCATCTTTTCTTCCTTATATCGCTGTTGCTGCTGCTGCTGCTGCTGCTGCTATTGGTCATGATGTATGTCAGTCCGCTTCGATCAGGATCACACTCAGTGAGTGCCCTCTTTTTTCCACCTCGGATGTCGGCTACGAACATGGTTTCCGTTATTTTGTGTGTCTCCTCTTCGGATAATAATCCCATTCTCATGATGCCCATTTGGTAATTTCACCCGATCTGATTGAGAAAACCGAGCTCACATTTTGATGCAGTCATTCAACAGACTGTAACCGATTCCCGTTTGTGTGGGTATTCAAAATTATTACAAATATTATTACAATGATTGGAGTGATTGTTGCGAAATTAAGTCTTTTGACACTTCGAGACAACTGCTCTCATGACTTTCTGACTATTTCATAGATAGGATCCAGTGCACCCAATTACGAAGGAATGCATCCAAACCTCTTGGTACTAACTCTGGTGTTCTCCAAGGTGCTGTTCTATCTTCATATCTTTTTCATGCTTCTAATAATGATATTTCAGTCTCACCCCCTACACACATCCAAACGTATACTGACGATGTTGTTTTGTGTCAAGCAATTGCATCTCGTTGAGAAAACGAGTCGGTGAGCAAACAATTGTTNCATATCACATGGTGGAAAAAATTCTTACATAATCATAGCCA